ATATGCAAGCACATTAGAATGGATGCTTGAAAAATAAATTAAAAAACCTAAAACTACAGTGTAATATTTTGTTGCCTATCCCACTAATATAGCCTCCTTTTCTAACTGAGCTTACTTGAAACCAGCCTTGGCCAACCTGGTGCCCTCCACATGTTGGAGGCAACAACTGGCTGGGGATGATTACAGCTGTAGCCCCAAACATAGAGGGCACCTGATTGCAAAGGCTGCCCATGGCAGTTCACAGGAAAACAGAAAGCTCCCAGACCACCCTAAAACAACACAAAAAATCACAGGCAGAAAGAAAAGAAAATCCTCCAAACACATATCAAACATTATACAAATGACAGCAGAAACATCATACATTTAGATCAAAGATGTCTTTGAATACTGTTCAGAAACAAGAACAAAAATCAGTTTGGCAAACACAAGTCCCTAAAGTGCACTGGGCCAGGCCTGTCTTATTGCCTCCTGAACAGCATCAAAAATGGAACTAGGCAGACTTTCTCCAGAACTTCATCTGCAGCACAAATGTAAAGCGCAGTCAGGCACATTCCAGACTTTGAAATTCCTTGAGATTCCCAAAACCTGAGAAGCAGGGGTGGGGGCCCACAGAGGTCATGGGGACGGGTCCTGGTGATGTAATTAAACATCAGCATTAACCACAGTTTCAGGCATTCAAATAAAAACCACAAAGTGTAACAAATGAGGAAAAACGTCACTGGTGGGAAATTAACATATTAGCTGAAGTGGGTGTTACCAGGTTCCGTTGAAGTGAGGGGATCATTTCTTCTCACATGTTTAGGAAACCTGGGTATGGAACATTTAATCTAGCCTACTGCCCAGAAAGGCTTGAGAGCTCTCAGGCCTGGCAGCTCACATACCATGCAACTATCCCATTTTAAAAAGGACATCTCAGATTTACAGACGGCACCCAGGCTTCTGATCACATTCCCAGGTGTCCTGTTGTGGCTCCTGTGCTCTGGCCGTGCCAGAATACAGGACCAAAAGTTGCGTGCTCTTGGGTTCCACATTTTGGCACGAGTCAGTTGACTCCCACCAGAGCATGGGACCAAAAGATGAGACCGAAAGATGCTCTCTCACCTTGTTCCCAAGCATCGCACACTCCTCTTCCTCCTTCCAGAAGTGGCACCGGCTTCCAGAAGTATGCTGTCTGGAAAGCCAAGTCGCTGTGGCTCTTGAAGGAGTGGTGGTGGGCAAAAGTGCATATGGGCCCACCAGCAGGATGGTGCAAGCGGGGATTTGGTGAGCCCCAAGGGAGGGAGGGAGGGAGTTGAGAAGGGGTGGGGCCTGAGAGGGGACATGGCCTCCATTGATTTGTCTCACTGGGATGTTGGAAGGTATGAGATCATGTGAAAGGCTACTGTAGGGAGAGGGGAACCTAGCATAGTGACTTTAGATGGAGATGTTCATAGAGGACTGAGCTCAGAGTGGTGCCCCTGAAGGCTGCAATTCTCAGCCCACATACTAAGGACCTGGAACTCACCTACATCAGTCAAAAAAGCAGTGCTTTGAATACATTATAAACATGCAACACCAGATGGAGATGGAGAGCAAAAAAAATTCTTTGAGATTTCCCATAGCATTTTTTTTCTTTTGTTATAACGATTTAATTTCTCTATTATTTATACTGTGTTTTTTTCCTGTGTGTAGATCCACCCTTTGTTTAACAGTCCATCCCTCTTCCAAGGGAACTCTGGGCATTGTATCCATGAGGAGAGTGGGGGCCTCATGACCGCTACTTATAGAAACTACCTAAACTTCACAGGTTTTTCACCTCATCACATCGGAAGCTGTGATCTGAAATTACCTTCCAGTCTATAGATTGCATTTTGAGATAAAACAAGAAAAAATAAGAAGTTGATTTATAGAAGGCTATTATTCCATCTGATTCAGCATTGTCTACACTGACTGGCAACAACCCTCCAGGTTCTTCTATGGGAGTATTTCCAAGCCTTACCTGGAGATCTCAGGGCTTGGTCCTGGGACTTTTACATGCAAAGGGTGTGTTCTTGCCGTTACCCAAACCTTTACACTCCATAGGCATAAGAGGGCCCTTTCATCTTTTATAGCCTGCCTTATTTTCTACCTACTCAGGTTTGCTGGGAGTTTTGCATCAACTTCATTGGAATTCCTCATGTGGATCATATTTGTCTAGGTACCTCAGCCCCTTTGAATCATGTTTGCTTTGACTTTGATTAAATGCAGTCTAAAGGATATCTACAAGACTAACCTTTCACTTCAAAATGCTCAATGAGTTTGATTCCAAACAAGCAGTTCATATTAATTAAGCGAGGAAGGCTGGCTTCTGCTAAACTGGAAAGTCACTGAGATTTTTAGGGTGTTCAGCACAAAACTTGCATGGGGGTGGGGGTGGGGTGTTTTGTGTTGAGTATGCGCCACAGAAGTTCAGTCAAGCATTTAGGCTCACCACAGGAAACAACAGTATGGCAGATACAGCTTTTACACAGCAAACACGAACGCACACACTATATAAAAACACTATTTACAGTTGCTGCAAGAAGTCTTCACTCTCTGAGTCTAGCTTGGGCTCTAGCTTATAAGGTTTTTGCTGGGGCAAAGTCCAATATTCCTCAGACAAGCCCTTCACAAAGTCTCCCACATTTTCACAGGATCTTTCCAAAAGTCTCCACATCTCCAACAGATTCTCAGTGAATCAGGTGAGTTAGGGACTTGCCTGTGCCCTTGCCTGTGCCCTGGCAGATTGAGCAGATGAGACCAGTCATAGGTCCAAAGGCCAAGAAGGCAGTTTCTGTGCATACAGAAGAGGGAAGTGAGGGGAGGATGGGGGTCTCCAACCTGGGAAGGGCAGAGGCGTGTGGTGGGTGCGGTCCACCCGGGTGTCATGACTGAGGGGGGTGACAAAATGGCAGGCAAGTGGGCGGCACACCTCGGTCCCAGTGTTCAGGGATGATGAGAATTGTAGTTCCCAAACAGCTGGAGGGCCAAGTTTGGCCATGCTTGTTTTAAAAGGTGTGGGTGGGGTAAGCAGATCTGGGGCTCTTCACTAAAGGTGGGCGGGGGAGCTTTGTTCCTGCTGCAACTTCCCTGGGGATCATCTGGCTTCCTGCAAATGTCGCCCCCCTCTAAAAAATAGAAACATTGCTGTTTCTTTTTTATAGCCACAAAGATGAATCACACTCATATTCAACCAAAGTTCACTGGGCTAGGAGCCTTCTGTGACAAATCCCTCACCAGTATCATCCTTTTTCATTGCCAGGGCTGACATATTAAATATTTAGGTGGAAGATTGTAGGTCAGGCGCCAACTAACGCACACTCAGAATGGACCAACTGAACTGAGCAGACCTAAATAAGTCATCGCAGTTCTTTTCAATGAGTCTGCTCTGAGTATGGCTAACACTGAATGCCACCTGTTGGCTTTTCTAGCAAGATGTGTAGCAATGAGAAATGGGAGTCACTGGGGCATGAAGAGCAGGCATCAATATTTAAAGAGAAGTCACAGGGCGTAGTCCCCTCCATGTGATACCGCTGGACCATCCAGATTTAAGCAAGACATCCTGGAATTGTGGAAGCCATACCTGGCTTCTGCTTGGATCCCAGAATATCACATTCTTTGGTCTGGCACTCTGACATGACTCAACTGGCTTGGACCAGAGCACCAGACCAAAAATCCCATTTGGATCACCCATATGTTGGAGGGTATGCTATATGCATGAACAAAGTCCCAGGGTCAAGCCCTAGCATCTCCACATAGTGCTGGCAATGACTCCGCCTCAACCCCTTGAAAGCCACTGCCGGCCACTGCAATACTGAGCTAGCCTGACTCAGTAGAAGCCAAGTTCCTCTGTTCCTAGTGTGCCAGGCTCCTTCCCACTTTCCCATCCTTGCATGGAGTCAAACGCTGGGTTAGCCCACTCCAACACAGGACTATAGAGTCAGACTTGAAGGACCCTTGGTGCAGGGAATCCTGAACAAGTGCACCTTCAAGAGATGGCTGTCTGCTTGGAGACCTGCAGTGTGGGAGAACCCACCCTACTTCATACGAACCCTCTGCCTTCTAGAAATGAAATTTTGATGAGCTAGCTCAGTTGGCAGAACATATGATTCTCAATCTCATGGGTTCAAGCCCCATGTTGGAGGGGACCCTCATGGTCCCTTCCAACTCTGCAATTCTATGTACATTTCATCCTTCCTTTTATTCCCCAACACCAAATCCACTTTCTAAAAAAAGTTGCAGAACTTCTCCAGGGATTGAGGGGAGAAGTGTCCTGATAGCTTCACATGTGCTGGTCAACCATCACCACCCACAGCTAAGTTTTGTGGCACTATTACATTTGGATGTTTATGGGAGTTCTGCCCTGGAGAAGGAAGGTGACTTATATGAACGTTGCAAGGTTGCTTCCCAAGCTGTTCCCGTGCCAGACTCCTTCGGGATGCATGGCCTGCGGCAAAAGGGAGAGGTTGAACGCACACCATACATTTACAGTACTTCTAAAAGCACACTCACCAAGAATCCTGTAATCTGTTAAGGGTGCTAGGAATTGTATATCTGTGAGGGCAGGTGTGGTCTTTGGTACTCTTTTGTAGTCCTGTATGGCGCACTGTGTAAGATCAAAATTTAGCACCCCCAAATGGATCTTCTCAATTTTGCACCCTCTTGGTTCAGTGTCCTGTATGGCAGAGCTGCCTGCACCACCCTAAATCCAGTGCTATGAGGGGTTAATTACAATTCCCTGGATTCTTTTTTGGAAGGTGGGGGTTGCTTTAAATATATGGTGTGTACACAGCCAAAGGAAGCAGATTTGATTGATGTTGTCACTGTTACTCTGGAGATCTAACTGGGAGAAGGTTCATGATAATATAATGATCATCAGCTTTAACCCAGAAAGAAAACCTCCCAGGCTGAACTTGCCTCTGAGTCATCTCAGGAGGGAGCGGCCTGTTCCATACTGCCTTGCTTCAGTCAACAGACTCAATTGCTCCTGTGTTGCCTACCTAGCCAGAACGCCAAAGGGAGCACTGAGGCTGCCAGCATGTTTGCAAGGTTGTTTGGACACAGGCCTCTAGCCACACTGTGTAAAACAGGTGCTTTCTGTAGGAGCCATGGCACCGGAATGACACTGACGAGGACAACCCCTTTGCCCAAAACGGAGGACTCAGTGAAGAGTAGGCTGGCATCTCCTAGAACTTTTTCAGGTGGGTAAGAGCAGTTCTAAAGCTGTTTAGAATTTGTGTGTGTGTGAAAAGTAATGGAACAAGTGGAATATACACAGGGGAGGGCACAGCAGGCAACCGTTCTTGTAAAGGGATAGTCTGCCCACCATAAGCCACACAATGTTAGCCTCAAGTCTCAATTACTGCAGTGTGTGTGTGCATGCACGCGAACGTGCCATCCAACCATCCTTCCCTTGTCCAGAAACTCCAGCTGGTACAATATGCTACAGCTAGGCCGTTGATGGGAACAGACAATAGACATCACACAATTCCAGTGCTCAAAAGCTTGTGCTGGCTGTTCCCATGCTTCCAGGCCAGGTTCAGGGTTCTTGCATTACTTTATCAGGACCATAGCAACTTGGGTCCAAGGGACCACCTAATCCTGTCTATTCCCTGCCCAGTCACTGGGATCCTTGGGGGAGTCACTGTGAATGGTCCCCCATGGCTTAGAGCACAGCTTTTATCAATCAGAAGCCCTGTGTTCAGTATTACGTGCCCAAATTAGTACAAGTCCCTCCCAGTTAAGTCCAGGCAGGCTCTCTACCTGTTGAACAACCAGCATCTACTGAAGATTTTTTTATTTTATTTTTTTGTCATTCCAGCTAGCATTTGTTTAACTGAGGTTTGATTTTATAGTTTTAACCGGCTTTTATTTATTTTTGGTATTGTACCTTTCCAAACTGCTTGGAGACTATCATACCCTCTGATATTTCTCTGAAGAAAATAGGGGCGCCCCATTCCATAATGATAGTTTTACTGTTTATACCCCACACATATGACTGGGTTGCCCAAGCCACTCTGGGCAGCTTCCAACATAAATAAAAACATAATACAACATTTAAAAACATTCCCTATACAAGATTGCCTTCAGAAGGCTTGGGGGTAGGATAACTCTGTACCCTCCAATATTTATCTAGTGAAAACAGGGACATCCTAAGAAAAAGTGGGAGATTCTGGGATCTAATCAGAAACTGGGATGGCGTCTCTAAATCATGGATGTCCCTGGAAAATAGGGACGCTTGGAGGGTCTGGACTATTGGAGTTACGTGATATGGAAATAGTTCAAATAATAGTTCAAATAAATAAAATATTAGGAAAACAGTAAGCCGGAGGTAGGGAGGTTTTTTCACCTAAGAGCCAGATTCCCTAGTGTGCAACCTTTTTTTCAAAATCTGCTGTTACTGGGTGCCTAATAAATGAAAGAAAGAAATAAGATGGTGGTTGGTTCAAGGTCACCAAACAATCTTCAGAGTTGAAGCAGGGAATTTGAACTGCATCTAATTCCACTCCTGATCTGTCACCCAGCTTGGTCCCCCTTGTTTTAGTTATTAGAAAACCAAAGCAAAAAAACAACAGCTCACTTCTGAATAATGGAAGACTTGAGAGGCATGCATATGATTTTTCTCTTTCTCTTGTAAAAGTCTCTCTATTTCCTTGCAGAAGGTAGATGGGTAGAAATGAAGAAAGGTGATTTTAAATGAAATTTAAAATCTTCTTTTAAATAATCTATTTCTTGAAGTGTGTACCCAGTGGGGCTGCAGCAGCATTGTTATAACTTCCCGGCTTAGCAATTTATTCTGGGTACTTTCTTCCCACAAACTATAAATCATTTAGAGACTCTTTTCATTGCATAGCTTGTTCTGGGAGCTGTGTGCTTTATTGATTTTAGTGAAGAGAATCACTAAAGGGAGACGAGACATTTGCCATTTCCATCTGGGCTGTGTGTGTTTTTAAAAAATTGGGTGGAGGGAAAGGAGGGGGGAACCTCCCCCCACCCTTTTGCCCTTTAACCAAAGTTTAAGGGAAGAAAACATCATCTCACCTTGAAAAGTACTTGTGGCTTTTCCATCACCTGCCTGCTGGAAAGGGGTGATCCACAAATCCCATCCTACAAGGCAATTATTTAGAGTGGTCAATCCTATCCATTGATTCAGTAGGGGGGGGGGGATCAAGGATCCTGTTCTGGATGCAGTTGGAACCAACAACTGCTGAACTTTGGTTATATTTTTAAGGTCACAGAGCATTCAGAAATGAAAGAAGACCAACCAAGCTCGACAAAAAGGTACTGCTGTGGTTGGGACGGTTTAAAAAAGAAGAAGACATCCCACACCTCTTGTCGTAAGTAGCCACAGGGGTTCGCTAGTTATTTATTACAATATCCTTAAAAGGAAAGGGCCCAGGGGTCAAGTGCAGCCATCATGGCTTCTTTATATGACCCTAGCATGATTATTAAGCTGCTTACTCCCCCCCCCCCCAAAAAACCATACCATGCCAAATTTAGAATACATCAGAATTTTTTTAAAAAAGAAACATTGTTAACTAAAAGTCCTCATTCAACAGTAAAAGGACACTGCACACCGTTTTCTCAGGTGCCCCACTGAGAAGCCTGCAAGGAAGTCCTGAGGGCACCTGCAGCATTCTCCCCACTTGGGATCCCCAGCTCCTGGGATTCAGAGGCATCCTGCCAGATTTGTGAAACAAGGGGTGGTAGCAAGACCAGCGAAATGAGAGTTAAGACCCTGTCACATTTTGTTGCATCATTCCACCCATCTGCTGTCTCAGAAGCAACTTCCTGTCTCCAAGCAGAGAGAACTAAATCCCGACTCCTTTCTCTCTCGCTTGCTTGCTCTTCATAATAATGCCTGCGCAGCCATTAATTCCCTTGTCACCCAAAATACATTTAATGGCAAGTGTGTACTTTCTCTGGAAGAGCTTCACCGGGGCTGTATGTGATACAGGAAGTTCAGTGTGTGGGCGTCGATCATTGTCTCTGTCCAAAAATAAACCAAACCAAGTTGGAAGCATTCGTTTATCCATAAGCGCTTCCACTTGCTTTTGAGAGAAATTTTGCAAAGCAAATTACTGTAGCACTCAGCTGCTTCCATGACAAGGAACACAGAGGATCTCTGCAGCATTTTTATCATGGTTCATCTGTATGGTGCTTGATAGTAACACACAAATGTTGGAGAGTGGGGAAAAGCCGAAATAAATTTGCTGTTGCCTCCTTCCAAAAAATTATTCATATATTTATTTATAGTAATAAATAATGTATATTGCTATTCATCAAAAAACCAGCGCTTTACACCAAGAAAACATGAGATCATATTGCAAAAAGCACAGAAAAAAAATAAAACCAGAGATCAATTAACTATTGTGGTAGCTCCAATATCATAGAATCATATATACCTGCAGCTGTGCCAGAAGAGGGGAGGGGGAGGGGAGTGCAGTTTTGGGGGCCTGATTTCAAAACTTGTTGCCCGAAAGTTGATACGTGACAACATGTGATACTTTGTACTTGGTGGCATAGTATCTAGGGTGGTGTTGTGTTGTGTTGTGCTAATTGAAGAGAGGATATACTTTAGATCACGGGTGGCTCTCACCCTTCACCAGACATGATGAGCTCCAGGTCCTACCATCCCTGACCGTTGGCCATGTTGGTTGGAGCTGATGGAGTCCCTAAACAACCAGGAGGTTCCACCTGGAGCCTAGAGTAGTCAATGACACTACAATGCCATTGTTTTCTGGTTTTCCAGAGTTGAAGTCCTCAAGGCTGCACAGAGCCAGCTGAGGATCCAAATCTGCTACATCATGATTGCATTGACTCTGCTAGGATGCATGACCATGATCATCTCTGGTAAAATGGTAAAGGAATTGACTTCATTTGTTTCTCAGACCAAGAAATACAACCCAACGTGCTTTAAACACACACAAAAACACAGAGACGGGGTTCACATAAGTTTGTGAAGATTCTCGCTTCTACACAGTGGCAGAGCTTCATGCTCCGGCACCAGGGGGAGGGGCAGAGAGGAGGCGTGGCGTGGCTGGTGCTCTGCCCAGGGGTATGGTGCACGGCCTGGGGTCGTGGCACCCAGCGTGGGTGGGGGGCAACCACAATGGAACCCCACCAGGATCGTGCTGCCGGGGGTGGTGCGCTCCACCCACCGCCCCCTCTTCCTCCGCCAGTGCTTATACAAGCCTTGCTGTTTGTGTCTACTTGAGAGGGGCTTCCCTGCGAGGAATCACACCTGTATAGGGCTACCGCCAGAGTTGGACAGATCTGTCCATTCTGATTTCTCTTGGAGTAGAGCCATGCCTAAGATTCAAAGCACATTTAATGTACATTTAAAGTACGGCACATGACTTGCCACAAAGATTCGTGGGAACAGCAGTTTGTTAAGGATCCTGTGAATTGTAGCTCTGTGAAGGCTAAACTACAGTTCCCAGGATTCCTGGAAAGAAGTCATAGGCTTTCAACAAGCATTGGACGTGTTTTTCATATATGGTGCGGATCTGCCCAAGTTTCTCATGTTTCTAATTTGAAATTGAGTTCTCTATATTTCTCCCAAAGTCCTCAAGAAAATTTTCTTTTTCAAACACTGACAAGTGATGCCTGCACTTGGGGGCTGCTCAAGAAACAGTCAGCTGTGTTGGGCCCTTGTGATCTTTACCCTGGTTCTCTGCTGTAGGGAATGTTACCAACCAGATGTTCTTATTTTTGAAGGCTGTCAAAAGAGAAGACACGCTGCTGAAGATAAACGCAGAGAAGAAAGCTAAGTGGAGAGCGGAAGGACAGGTGGAAAAGGAAGCAATGGCTGGAAAATCTGAGCAACCATGAAAGGGATAATCCCAAAGGATGACCAGTGGTCCATACAGAGAGCGCCATCAAGCAGATGCTCCTCTAAGACTTGGGTCTCTACTCTATACCTGATAGGAAAACAATCATTTCCTTTTTATTGTAACTGTAGACAGCCTAATGGAATCCAGAGGGGAACCAATCTCAAGACTTCAGTATTTAATTCTGCCCATAGACTGTGACCATTTAAAATACTTCCATCTTTCAGACCTGAGTTGGACAGTGGAGAACGTCTGGACTCAGCTGAGCATTTCTGATTAGAGGACAACCATCACCTGTGACCAAATCTCTCTCTGTACACCAGCCTTTCTGAACCTGGTGCCATCCAGAGGCTGCTGGACTGCAGTGCTGGACACAATTGGCTGGGGCTGGTGGAAGCTGGAAATCCAAACCATTGAGGAAGGCTGGCCTTTGCCAAACTGTTATATCCCCAACCCAACCCACAATCAAAATAGTTAATAAAATTCATTTGTGTGACTAAAATGTTCTTTATATACAAGAAGTGGAACAGGGGAATCTTGTTGGAACAATTTAAATGGGGTGCCTGGATCAATTACCCTGTAAGCTTGAGGCAGGAAAACTTGTTTAACTCAGAGGCCCCCCTCCCCTCTTACATAGCCTTCCAGGGTCCACTTACAAGTGGTGGGTGGGGCTACATACAATAGTGGGTGGAGCAATGGATGTGACTCATGTTGGTTCAAGTAAAAAACAGAGATATAAAAAGGGTAGAAAAAGACCACACGTTTGGTAAGTTAAAAATAGTTTACTTTCAAGCTCTCTAAAGGTCAGATTCATGCACTTTTCCATACATCATCCAGGAAAAGTTGCACAGGCAGTAAAACTTGACTTAGTTGCACTGGTGAAATTTCTTAAATCATTGGTAAGGTATAGGAACTAAATGGCATTGAGCTTCCCTGGTAGACTGAGGGTTGAACAATAGGCTTGGTTACCCATTTCCTCCTAAGTTAAGGGAAAGTGACCTCACTAAGCCTGGCAGGGCAGCTTACTTTATGTTATTAACCCCTTCATGCATTAATAGACTTAAGCATGTTGGTTGTATGAAGCTGGTTATTGCAGAAACCCCTTCTCTGGAAAATATAACAATTGCATGCACAAGTAATGAACCACCCAGAGTCCCATCTTGACTCAAAGATTCCCAAAACTGTCTCTTGGTAGTGGCTTGGTCAGAATATTGGCTGTCTTTTCTTTGGCTTGACAATATACCAAATCAACGAGTCCATCTTTTATCACCTCACGCACATAGTGGTATTTCACCCCAATGTAATCATAGAGTTGGAAGGGACACTGAGGATTGTCCAATTCAACCCCTTGTAATGCAGGAATATGCAGCTGTCCCTTACAGAGATCGAACCTGCAACCTTGGTGTTATTTGTGCTTTTATCTTGTGAACCACCCTGAGATCTTTTGGTGAAGGGCAGTATATTATTATTATTATTATTATTATTATTATTATTATTATTATTAATAGCAGGAAACCAAAACAGGGGTGATCCTGCTAGGTGGTGAAAAAGGATGCACAGCAACATATTGTTGTGGGTCTCATTTGTTTCAACAAACAGACATTGTGGCTATATCTAACCATCTTCAGGAGCAGTGTTCAAACTAACGAGCAGGAGGAGGATGAGAAGAATGTTTTTGCAGTGATTTGTATGGCATGGATGGCTGAAAATAGAGCAGTGATGGTGAAGAACCACTGTCCCTGGAGCCCAGTTAGGCCCACCAGGCCTCTCCTTCTGCCTGTCCATCACCTGACATTAAGTGCAGGACAAGTATAGCTGCAACTGAGCGCACCACCAAATTGAATCCATGGGTGTAAATAGGAACATTCTTTTGCAGCCATGGCTTTTCCTTTGGTGCAATTGGAATCTGGCCCCGTTGCACTGCTTTGGGGAGGGATCTGAGCTCCTGGTCATTTCCAAGCATGTCCTGTCTCTTTGGCACACTTCTGATTCCTTTGTAGGCTTAGGCTTTGTCTTTTCCTGCTTGGGATGCCTGGAGATTGATTGGTGGGTGACTCTGTCCACCTACCAAAGTGTCCCACTGAAGATTGGCCATTTTGGAGAGGGGGGAGAGAGAGAGAGAGAAATATACACCCATCCTGGTTTCTAAAGGGATTCTCTAATGTTAAAAAACACAAGAATGTTACAACAGGCGTTGTGCCTTTGATTCCAAAGTGGTGTGTCTAAGTGGATATTATTCGGGGCGGTGATAATCGGTGTTAAGTCATTATCCAAGCTGTTTAATTTGATGTTGCTCTATAAATGAATCGGCGTTTATTTGCATGCATATTTTGGTGAGAGGGAGATTAAAGGGAAAAAAGAGTTCCAGCAACAACATAATGATGTTATGATGACACTAACTGGGGGGGGGGGGGATGCAGCTGCCATTCAAAGCTTAACTGCTCAGTCATTTAAAAATAAACACTTTATAATACAGTTTAAGGGGGGAAAGGGCAACAAACAAAATGTACAAAATCTGTCTAGCTGAAGTCATCAATCCCCAAAAAGGCTTGGATGAGCAATAGCAGGAGATAATTTCCTACAAGGGATGAGTCATCATCATCTACATCGCTGAAAGAGTATTGTACCCCTTACACAGATTTCAGTGGCACAGAATGTGGGACCTTCCAGATGTCAATGGACAATTCCCATCATCCCTGACCAATGGCCATGTTTGCTGGGGCTGATGGGAGATGGAGTTCCAACAATGTCAAGGACACCACATTGGATACTACAGTCATACCTCTTGTTACGTTTGCTTCACGTTACATCTTTTCAGGTTGCGTCCCGCAGCGACCCAGAAGTACTGGAAAGGGTTACTTCCGGGTTTCGCCGCTCGCACATGTGCAGATGCGTAAAATGACATCACGTGCATGCACAGAAGAGGCGAATCACGACCCGCACGTGCACAGACGCGAGTTGTGTTCCTTTCAGGGGCTCTGGAATGGATCCTTTTCGCAACCAGAGGTACCACTGTACTGCTATATGTGAACAGGCCACCTGTGCAGTTGTCAATTCATCATCATTCTTTTTTGTTTTGTTATTGTGCCTTTAGTAACAGCAAAGCGATCAGCATGCTGCTAAGTGTTGCACAGAGAAGCACTGCTTAATGCACAGGTGCAGGGGCTGATTTGGAGGCTGGCAACCCAAGGCACAAGCAGAACACACATGGACCCACAGTGTCTATCTTAGTATCAGGGTATGCCCAGCACTGCCTGGGAATTTGTAGAAATGAAAAGGTGTGGATATTTTTTTTAATGAATAGTGCAATTTGTGAGTTTGGTCCTGTCATGCCAAAAATTGGGTAAAGTCACTCCAAAGGCATATTTTGGTCCCACCATCTTGATTCAGAATGGTGCCTGGCATCCAAACATCAATGAAGATGGCTGCCCCCACTACAGGAACCCTTTTGCCAGGTCTAGCAATGATATCACAAGAGACAGCTCCAAATGAGAAAATGAGCAAAGTCATGTTTCAAATGAGCAAAGTCATGAATCAAAATGGCAGCCAGCATTCAAACATTGATGAACCCCCTCATGACAAGTTTTGTGACAAGATAAGGGGCAGCTGAAACCATGGAGAAATAACAGTCAAACCACTTTCAAAATTATATAGGAGATTCTTGGGAGGCTGGCATTCTCTGCAGCACAAGGAAGATCCCATTTCCTCTGAGCTCAAAATGTGCTTACTTTTGTATTTCTCTTGGATGAGTTGTTTCCCACTGCAATTTGTGACATGAAACCAGAGACTTTGTTTTAGTGATGGTATCTGTTCCACAAGACCTGCTTCTCATTCATAATTTATTGCTCCCTAAGACTTTTGGGCTTTTATGTTGCAAGCAGTTCCTTTCCCAACGATGGGTGAGAAAACTCACTTTCTTTCCTTTTTTACAGCAAAAGGAAAAGGAGAAGAAAATTGTGCAAACGAGGCAAAGTGGCAATTCAGGTACACACATTGTCGCTTTCCTAGAGGGTTTGTTCACCTCAGCATCAGAAAGCCTCAGTGTGACTCAGGAAGCACACAGTGTTAAGGCCATGATCAGCAGGGTCCTCTTCCTTAATAAGATAAGCTCGTAGCTGAAGGACACAGAGAGGAATAACATTTTTTAGGCCCAGTTTCTGGGGCCAGACATGCGACAACTCCATTCTGAAGCCCTGTTTACCAAACTTGAGCACAAAATCCAGCTGCCAGTTTGGATTTTGTCAGGTCTGGTTGTGCGTAAGTTTCTTCAGTCATCATCACTCCCCGTAATGCTGAGCTCAGGTGGAGGCTCTAGGAAGCACTGCAGTTTGCAGACATAAAACAACTGTGGCATTGCATCCCTGTTTCTGATGAGAATAGCTTGTCAGGTGGGGTTGTTTGGTGGGCCAGGCAGGTGTGCGTGTGGGGGGGGGGCTGAGGAAGAATTGCAGCCTTCTGCAATGGTGCCTACAGAAGCAAGCTCACTCTTGGCAGAAGAAGCAACTTCTGCCCAAAAGGTAATTTGGCTGCTGTGATTTTCATGTATCTCAATTAGTATCATTGACTCATTACATTGCTATTAGCCTACAGGTTACCAGATTTTTTTCAATGAATCTGGGGACACTTATTGTTCACTACATACATGTGAATGCTGAGAAAACTGTAAATCCGGGGACTGACCCCAGGAAACGGGGACATCTGGTAACCTTACTTTAGCCCTTTCAATAAAAAGTGGTCCTTTTAAAGGGTTTGGGGGGTGCTTCTCTGTTACTAAGATTAGAAGGCCACCAAACAAATGCTCTTCTTTTGACTTTGGCCCTTGATTTGAAGGGTGTGAGATCATGCCTCTTTTACTGGGGCAGCACTGGTAGTTCTACCTTTCTATTTAGCTGTGTTTATAGCCTTTTATTTGCTCTGCAGTGTTTTCAGGCTTTTATTGTTAACAACATAAGACGAGTCTGCTGAATCAATCCAAAGGGAAATTTAGTCCAACATCCAGTTCTCACTAAGGCCAAGCAAATGCCTGAGGGAGACCCAGAAGCAGGACCAGAGCACAAAGGCATTCTCTCTCCCCCGTGGTTTCCATAAATTGGTACTCAGAAGCATTCTGGCTTCCAACCATGGAGGCAGAACATAGCCATCGGGGCTAGAGGTCCCTGGCAGCTTTATGCTCCATGAATTTGCGCAGTCCTCCTTTGGAGCCATCCACTATGGTGGCCATCCCTGCCTCCTGTGTGAGCAAGTTCCATAGTTTAACTAAGCCCTGCTTGAAGAAACAGGTTTTTTAAAATGTCCCATATCCTAGTTTAGAGAAAACGTGAGTAAAAGGTGACATGCTAGAAATTCATAAAATTATGCATGGCATAGAAAAAGTTGATAAACAGAAGTTTTACTCCGTCTCTCACAACTCTAAAACTCATGGAGGTCAAATGAAGCTGAATGTTAGAAGGTACAAGACAAATAAAATAAAGGGCTTATTCACACAATGTATAGTTAATCTAT